TCGAGCCCAAGATTCATGTTGTTAAGGGAGACATTTGTTAAGTGAGTTTTGCCCTATTTTAGGACCTTTCTTGCCACAGTTGTTAAGTGACTCATTGCAGTTGTTAAGTGACCAACACAGTTGTTAAGTAAATCCGACTTCCCCATTGACTTTGCTTGTCAGAAAGTCACAAAAGGGGTCACATGACCCCAGGACAGTGTGACTGTCATACATTTGAGACAGTTGCAAAGCATCCGAATGTAAGTCACATGATGCCGCCACGGTCCTAAGTGTGACAAACGATCCTAGGTCACCTTTTTCAGTGCTGTTGTAAGTTCGAACGGTCACGAAATGAACTTTGTAAGTCCGAGGACTAGCTGTCGTTTCTTTTTTAAAAAAAACTTTTATTACAAAACATAGCCTCACAGAATGAATAAATAAATAAATAAATAACAAGTTAAAAACTATTGAAAGTCCAGGGGATGCAGTTTGGTTCAAAATTGAACCTTAATTCTTTTTTTTGTGGTTCTACTTTAAAGTCAGTCTAATTTAATCTTTCATGGAAGGCAATATTTAATTCAACATTTGTACCGTTTGTAAAAATAATAATAAAGGCAGGGCTGAAATAAATACATAAATAAAATAAATAGATTAAAAAATGCGCTTTAGATCTTCATTCTCTCAGTCAGTCTGTCCATATAGATGAAGTCCACCTGCATTTCATGTCTCGCAAACTCCTGCGTGCAGTTATCAAGTCCCTTCTCTTCGAGGAAATTCCCGAAGCTGCGGAAATATTTCTTCAGTTGCAGGTTGTGCATCCGTTCCTCCTTACTTTCTCCCAGCGTGTTTTTTTCTCCGAGGCACCTCTGGACCCTTTGAGCTTGTGCGTACAACATGTGGAGAAACCTAGAATCACAAAACAGTAGGAGAATGTGTCAGGAGCCACCTCAACACCTCATCCCAAGAAAGCAGAACTCAGTGGAAGCAAGCTCTTCCAAAAGGAACTTTTATTAGGAGAAGCTGATGGCAGGGATACTAGACAGGATCCGAGGGATTCCTCTACAGACCGATAATTTAAAGTATCACCAGGCAAACCCCACCCCATACTTCATCCGGACGGTTCAAACCGGCCAATCCCCAGGTGTTAACTCCATCCTGGGAAAGGGGAGATAACATCGGTCAGGCTCTGGTCATAGCAGAGATGTTTAAATGGCTCTTCTTGAGCGGAGAAATAAGCCAGGCTCCAGAGGTTGTAATTCTTCCTCCCCCCCCTTTGCTTAGCTGACAGGTTAGGGCAGGGGTAGGCAACCTTGGCTCTTTTATGACTCGTGGACTTCAACTCCCAGAATTCCTGAGCCAGCCACGCTGAGGGGAAAGGGAGAGGTTTCCAAGCTGAGCCATGCTGGCTCAGGAATTCTGGGAGTTGAAGTCCACGTGTCATAAAAGAGCCAAGGTCGCCTACCCCTGGCCTAGGAGGCTCACTGCTTAGAACAGGAGGACTTAAGACAGGGGTAGGCAACCTTGGCTCTTTTATGACTTGTGGACTTCAACTCCCAGAATTCCTGAGCCAGCCATGCTGAGGGGAAAGGGAGAGGTTTCCATGCTGAGCCATGCTGGCTCAGGAATTCTGGGAGTTGAAGTCCTTGATTCATGAAAGGGCCAAAGTTTCCCTCATGCTGGCCCAGAATTCCTGAGCCAGCCATGCTGAGGGGAAAGGGAGAGGTTTCCATGCTGAGCCATGCTGGCTCAGGAATTCTGGGAGTTGAAGTCCACACGTCATAAAAGAGCCAAGGTTGCCTACCCCTGGCCTAGGAGGCTCACCGCTTAGAACAGGAGGACTTAGGACAGGGGTAGGCAACTTTGGCTCTTTTAGGACTCGTGGACTTCAACTCCCAGAATTCCTGAGCCAGCCACGCTGAGGGGAAAGGGAGAGGTTTCCAAGCTGAGCCATG